CAAGAGGCAAGATTTAAGAAAGGGGGCAAGCAGCACAAGCCATCTTAGTAACACTGGCAGCCTGCTTCCCAAGTTGCCCAGGCCGTCCCAACAATGCGAGACGAAGAGAGCTCAAGTTGAGGGGTCTCCACGCATGCCGTCAGCTCCCCTCCACAGATAACGATAAGCCGCCAAACCCTTGTCTTGGGCTCCAACCTCGATACTCGCACATGCACGGAAAGGACATTCCGTACTCTTGGAACTAGGGCGCGACTCATATGGCTACACGTCGAAGCATCCGCCGTCTCAGAGACCATACTATATATCTACAAGATTCTCAGCCGGGTTAGTCAATGAGAAAAAGGTGTTGTGGTGAAATTCGTCGGCTTATCGAGCAAGAACCACGCTTCGTCCATCTCACGAGTATGCATGTAAAATGCATGGCACGACATGTAAGGTCTTGACGCTCTGATCCGCCAAAAGATTCCCAGCTCCCCATAAAGTCAAGCCAACTATAAATATCAGATGCCGGAGGAATATAAAGTGTAGAAGATAAGTGCAATAGTAGTTGGCGGTTGGTGCTGCATCGATTTTTGGCGGACCCAGTTCAAATGGCTGGTGGACCCGCTAATTGCATAACTCCACGTCTCATGCAAGAAGGCGCTAGGCACGAAAAAAATCTGACCCTCCAAGTCGCCGCGGTGGCTTGCCTCTTCCCTCTTCTTTATAAAGCCAAACGTCGAAAACTCTTTATCCCAAACCTCCCCCCAAAGACCCAGAAAGGAGTCAGATAAGTGCGGTGCCATCGAGGTTTCTGTTCCGTCTACTTCTTTTCTGATTTCTAAATCACCCCAAAAAAAATTGAAAATCCTGAAAAAAACCACATTCTACCTCCCTCCCACCCAACCAAAAAAACCACCCGAAAACCACAAATTTCCCCTCTCGACAAACCCTCCGCCCCCCGTTTCTGACCAGATCCCCCGATCGCGAAACCGAGCCTTTGTCGTCGTCAGCAATCGACCCAAGGCAATTCTCGCACTTGGCTTTGAGACGTTCTCAGAGCTCGTTTGTTCACCGCCGCTCTTTCTTCGCGCGCGGTCTCGCTGTCCTCTACATTTCCTCAACTTGAGCTTGGATTCAGGTGAGACGCTCCCGGACACGTCGTTCTTCGCAACGTTCAGCATCAGCCCGTTGCGTGGACCCCGCAATCGAATCTCATCTAACCAGATATTTCTGCCAGGTCTAATCTAGCAAAAATGGCTGCTCCCGTTGGCCCCGGCGCTGTCGACCAGCTTGCCGCTGAACTCAGCAACACGAGCCTCAACGGCGACAAGAATGCTCCGGCACTCAACACTAATGTGGGTGGTGAGTACCAGGGTGACGAGCCCGACACCGCTGGTCCCACGCCCAACTCGGCGTTCCCCCATCCTCAGGCCTCGGCCTCGCTTTATGTCGGCGAACTGGACCCCTCCGTCACCGAGGCCATGCTTTTCGAGCTGTTTTCCCAGATCGGCCCGGTCGCTTCGATCCGCGTGTGCCGCGACGCTGTGACTCGTCGCTCGCTCGGCTACGCCTACGTCAACTACAACAGCACTGCCGACGGCGAGAAGGCTCTGGACGAGCTGAACTACACGCTCATCAAGGGCCGCGCCTGCCGCATCATGTGGTCCCAGCGTGACCCCGCCCTCCGAAAGACGGGCCAGGGCAATGTCTTCATCAAGAATCTGGACGTGGCCATCGACAACAAGGCGTTGCACGATACCTTTGCCGCTTTCGGCAATATCCTGAGCTGCAAGGTTGCTCAGGATGAGCACGGCAACTCCAAGGGCTACGGATTCGTCCACTACGAGACGGATGAGGCTGCTGCGCAGGCCATCAAGCACGTCAACGGTATGCTTCTGAACGAGAAGAAGGTTTACGTCGGACACCACATCCCCAAGAAGGACCGGCAGAGCAAGTTCGAGGAGATGAAGGCCAACTTCACCAACGTCTACGTCAAGAACATCGCCTCGGAGGTCACGGATGACGAGTTCCGCGAGCTGTTCGAGAAGTTCGGTGATGTCACATCCTCATCCCTGGCTCGTGATGAGTCCGGCAAGAGCCGCGGCTTTGGTTTCGTCAATTTCACTACCCACGAGGCTGCTGCGAAGGCTGTTGACGACCTCAACAACAAGGAATTTCATGGTCAGGACCTGTACGTCGGGCGCGCCCAGAAAAAGCATGAGCGTGAAGAAGAGCTCCGCAAGTCTTACGAAGCCGCGCGTCTCGAGAAAGCCAGCAAATACCAGGGCGTCAACCTCTACATCAAGAACCTGGACGATGAAATTGACGACGAGGAGCTCCGTCGGCTGTTCTCCGAGTATGGTCCTATCACCTCCGCCAAGGTCATGCGGGATAGCTACGAGGGTGGCGATGAGGATGCCAAGGAGTCCAAGGACAAGGAGAACAAGAAGGAGGGCGAGAAGGACAGTGAGTCGGACGGCGAAAAGAAGCCGGAGAAGAAGGGTGACAAGAAGCTGGGTAAGAGCAAGGGCTTCGGCTTCGTTTGCTTCAGCAACCCCGAGGATGCTACCAAGGCGGTCGCCGATATGAACCAGCGCATGATCCACGGCAAGCCCCTCTACGTTGCGCTTGCCCAGCGCAAGGATGTTCGCAAGAGCCAGCTGGAGGCGAGCATCCAGGCTCGCAACCAGCTTCGCATGCAGCAGGCTGCCGCCCAGGCCGGCCTTCCCCAGCAGTTCATGCAACAGCCGGTCTTCTACGCTCCCCAGCAACCTGGGTTCATGCCTCCCGGAGGTGGCCGTGGCATGGCTTTCCCCCAGCCCGCTATGCCCCCCGTCCAGGGAGGACGTCCTGGCCAGTTCCCTGTCTACCCTGGCCAGCAAGGCGGCCGTGGTGGCATGCCTCCTCAGCCAGTCCCTCCCATGTACCCGCTCGGACAGTACCCTCCCGGTGCTTTCCCCCAGAACCCGAATTACATGGCTGCTATCCAGCAGGTGCAGCAGGCTGCTTCACTCGGTGGTCGTGGCGGTCCAGGTGGCCGCGGTGGTATCCAGAACATTCCTGCTGGCATGCCTCAGGGAATGGCTGGCCCCGTTCCTGGATATCCGCCTAATGCTAGACCCCAGAACGGCAACCTCGGTCGTGGTGGCGCCGCCCCTGGCCGCGGAGGTCCTTTCATGGGTGGCGGCCGTGGTGCCGCTCCGGGCATGAGCGATCTGAGCGCTGGAAGTCTGCTCCAGTCTCAGCTTGCTGCTATTAGCGACCCGGGCCAGCGGAAGCAGATTCTCGGCGAGAATCTGTTCCCCAAGATTCAGGCTCTGCAGCCCGAGCTCGCCGGAAAGATTACCGGAATGTTGCTCGAGATGGAGAATTCGGAGCTCGTCAACCTGTAAGTCATTATTATGTCTCTGATCGTTCTTGTACTGATAGATGTCTAGGGTTGAGGATGACGAGGCCCTGCGTGTCAAGGTCAACGAGGCTGTACTTGTGTATGAGGACTACCTCAACAAGCAAAAGGCCGAGACGGGCGAGAAGGCAGAGGAGAAGGGCGAGGAGAAGGCCTAAACGGGCCCGGCAGCCTCGCAGAAACACGACGGTTTTCAGTTCTGGGGTCAATCTCGCAACAGGAACGGGGACGGGAAAAGTTTTGATACCAGCTTTGATTTGGCGGGACATGATTCTTTTTTATCTGATCCGCCCGCGGGAAGTCGGCCTGGGATGGATCTGGCAACATTTCTACGGGGTCGGTGACCTTTGACGGCTTTTTCGAGCATGTTGCTATGACATCCTTCATGTATGATAGATTTTTTCTTTTTTTCCTTTGGTTTGAGAGGTATCTGGTCCCCAGGTGGTCATCTGCGGACAAGGTGGTTTCACTCGACTCGGCGTTTGGGCGGTGGGCAGTCGGATCCCGGCGAACCAGCTTGGGAGTTTTTAGGGGTGGCGCCCCTGACACAATACCCGGTCATTCTCAGCGAGGGTCGCCGTGGCAGATGGTCTATGACCCAGACGTCATCCGCGAATAGGAGCTCTAGCTAATAGACCTAAAAGTTGATTAATTTTGTTGTTGTGAGTGTTGAGGCAATGTGAAATGTATGGCGTTGGATGAATGACGACGATGATCTCACCGCCAATTGGTCCTCTGCCGAACTCCTCCCCGCGAACCATCATCTACTGTTCCTCCCGAACACCCCTCCAACATTGACCATCCCCATCATTCTTTTTTGGCAAGCAAACAACAACAACAAAAATGACACAACAAACACCACCCACCAGTCCATTCGCATCCATCCCCATCCCCCCTTTCCTCCTCCTCTCACTGGCCATACTACTACTACTACTACTACTACTATTAATATACCTGTACAAGACCCTCTACCACAATCCACTGTCATCAATCCCACCAGCGCACTGGTCGGCGCCGTACTCGCGCGCCTGGATATTATGGGTGCGTTTCTCGAGGCGGGAGAATGAGATATTAAAAGAGGTGCATGGGCGGCTTAGGAGTAGTGTAATAAGAGTTGCGCCTTGGGAGGTTAGTGTCTGTGGGTTGGAGGGGGTTAGGGGGGTTTATAGTTCGAGGGACGGCGGGTGGGGGAAGGGGGGTTGGTATGGGGTTTTTGATAATTTTGGGTGAGTTTTTGTTTTTATTCTTCTTTTGGTCTCTCTTATTTCGTTGTTGTTGTGTTTTGTATTTTGTGTGTATGGTTGGTGGTGATGGTGAGGAAAGGAGAAAGATGTCGTTTGTCGTTTTTGTTTCGAACGATGATACGCATAAACATCCTTTGGGTACGGCAAGGTTATTTTGGATGGATGCACGACCCTGGGCATACACATATTCACGGGCGCAACTACTTGCAAATGCCATGGATATTTGCGGGATTTGAAGAATACCATTCATTGTCATGGTCTTGGCTTTTTTTGCTGGTAGGACGACATGGGGACGGGAATGGGGATGATAATAACCCTCATCACCACCACCATCCAACACGGGCAATGTGTCCGGCTACAAAGTTCCAGGTCGGATGGTGTAGTTGGTTATCACGTCAGTCTCACATTTCTGGTCTCGAAAAAGATTCTAGTTAGTGAATCACTGAAGGTCCCCGGATCGAGCCCGGGTTCGATCAAAAACGACTTTGGTGGACATTTGCTTTTCTTCCTTTTTTTTTCTTCTTCTCTCTCTCTCTTCTCCATTTTTTGTGGACTGGTTATGGATACATGGCCGAGACTAATAACCTCCCAACAGAGTCCCGTGCATGTTCTCTTCTAGAAGTTCAGCAGACCACTCGGCCCGCAAACGGCTGCTCTCGCATGTCTACTCCAAGTCGTATATCCAATCCAGCAGCGCAGCCAGAGCCCAGGCGGCCGAGATTATCTACAAGAGACTCCTGCCGGCGCTTGAAGCCGAGGGTGGGATCTCACGGGATGGTGAGCCGACGGAAGGAGTAGGTGTCGATATTTATTCTGTCTTCATGGCGGCGACCATGGACTTTATCGCGGCTTACATCTTTGGGCTTGACGGCGGGACGGAATTTTTGAGGGACAAGGCGTACCGGAATCACTTTTTCGAGCTGTACAAGGCGCGGAACGACTACGGGATTTACGATCAGGAGTTGCCCTGGTTGACGGCGTTTTGTAGGAGGATTGGGGTTCCCCTGTGTCCTGCCTGGGTGGATGATGCGAATAAGGAGTTGGGCGAGTGGTGTCTGCGTCTGTGTAGGGCGAAGAGGGACCGGGATTCTGGTTCTGAGAAAGCAGGTCGAAAACCGGGAGACGAGTCGGTCGTCTGGGATGCTGTGGTCAACGGCCTCGAAAAGGAGGAGACTGTGAATGGACGCAACTCGGTGCTATACCCCACGGCGCTCGCTAACAAAGAACTCTCGGTTGCTTCTGAGCTGTTTGACCACGTCCTGGCGGGCCAGGAGACGGCGGGTCTAGTCCTCACGTATCTCAGCTGGCGATTATCGCTGTCGTTGGAACTTCAGGGCAAGCTGAGGACAGAGCTGCTGGGTCTACGGCCGGGTATGCGTCTTTCGGAGACAGGAATGCCGGACCCGAAACAGCTCGACGGCCTACCGCTGCTCCACGCGGTGCTCATGGAGACGCTGCGGCTGCACGCGCCGATCCCCGGGGCGCAGCCTAGACAGTCGCCCGAGGCGGGATCGAGGATTGGACCCTATGAAATCCCGGGTGGCGTGAGGGTGGCCGCTATGGCGTATACTCTGCATCGCGACGAGACCGTGTTTCCGGACCCGGAACGGTGGGATTATACTCGCTGGCTTGCTGAGTATGCGACTGAGGAGGAGATCAAGACGCGGAATAGACAGTTCTGGGCGTTTAGTTCGGGCGGTCGGATGTGTGTTGGTTCCAACTTTGCCATGCACGGTAAGATGATCCGGATTGTGGTTTTTGTGGTGCTAACATGACGGTAGAAATGAAGCTGATTATCGCCGCGTTATACTCGAATTTCAGGAGCTACATTGTGGACGACGAAGGGGTTGCGCGGCAGTCGGACGGATACACGGGCAGGCCAGAAAAGGAGAGATTGTATCTGCGCTTCGAGGTGGTGTAGCTATGATCCCAACGTGATGGGATCCGCTGGTGCACCACAAACTCATGCGGTCCCATCCATTATCCGTGCCACCGGGATGGCCCTTTTCTGTGCGTTACGAGTACAATGCATATTTGACAGAACTGTCTGGATCTCTCACAGTCCCTTCTCAGACATCACCGCGAATGGGAAAAAGCGAACAAAACTTGCGAGAGACGTCGTCGGCCAAGAGCCGCAACACGTGGGGGTTTGCTTTCCCGGCCATTGGCGACCGGCTCGGCTTGGCTGACGGGGTTAACAAGACTGGTTCGGGAAGGAGGTGTGTGGGCGGCAGCGGCATTGCTTCGGCGGCACCTGATAAACTGTCTTGAAAGTTACCCTTCCCAGCTGTTGGTGGTTCCGCACACAGCTCGGACATGTCCGAGAAAGCTGTCGGTCACCCTTCTGGGGACCTGCTGCCGACCACCGCTGTTGCCTCGGGACAATTCCGTGCAGCTTGGATGCGGCCCACTGCATGCAGTGATGCTACTCCATCTGCTACAATGGTGATAGTAGCTTAGAACCACCAATGCTAGCGCAGTTTGTGTTGGAGAATGACCTCTTGTTGCAGAGCGAAGGAAGCTGGGGAAAGAGAACAAAAGAGCGGGGCAGTTGGCGGGGTGGCTTGGGGGCGTCGCGCCAAGACCAAGTAGGAAACGCCCGAAGCTTGTTCAACTGTCCAAGCTTCGCGAGGCGTTTCTTGTCCCGTGCGCCTCGACGTCACCTGCTCATTCCTCGGGCCTTTCCACTAACTGCCTTGGTTAGCCTTTTCGGCGGCCAGTTTTTGCGGTTTGCCGTCCACCATGATTCTCGCAAAAGGGAAGTCTGGGTAGTTGTCTCAGCAGGGTGATTAGGTACAGTCTGATCAAGAGCCACATGGTGTGGACTGACAGCATGGCGACAATAAGCTTATCCATGGCAGCCATCTCATATCTTTTCGGCGTGGACCGACGCCTCGGCTCTCATGCAACCCTGCGCCAGATCATGCTCTAGTGTAGATAAAAAAATACGGGAGGCAGGTTCGTCGGAAGGGTTACATTGCACATGCAGCAATGACTTCTACTACTAGACCCAAAGGTCCCCGAGCTGGATCGAGGAAAGCACAGGGATCGCCCGAGCTTCCTACCTGCATCCCCTCTTCCCCAGTTACATTTGAGGAGAGCTACCCCCCGTCTGCTACCGTCACACTCGGCCAACTCTCTCGAGCTCTTCCTACCCCGCCACCTCTCTTATACCTAGAATTACCCTCCCGCCGATCAAAGCTGTGGACGGGCATCTCAAGCTCTGTTCCTGCATCTTCCATCCTTCCTGTTAGACCCCGCGCAGCTTCCGCAACATGTTTGGTCGCAAAAAGAAGGACGACCCCCCAGAGGTGGTCGACAACAACGAGGAGTCGATCGTGGCCCAGCAGCCGTTCAGGAAAGCCATCCTGCCCGTGATTGCCTGCGGTGCCGGTTTATTCTCGGATGGCTACATCAACAATGTAAGAGAAAGATGAAAATAAAATAAAACTGGGACCAATTGGAGTGTGTGCTATGAGACTGACGGAGTATGTATGTTCTATGTAAAAGGTCATCGGCTCCGTCGTCACCATCCTAGCCATCCAGTATGGCGACGTGTGGAAGACCTCAAACGCCAAGCACTACCTCGGCGACATCGCTTTCGCTGGTACCGTCGTCGGCCAGCTCGCCTTTGGATATCTGTCGGATAACTGGTCGAGAACGAACTCGCTCGTCCTCTCAACGGGCATCCTGATCATCTTTACCGCGCTCACGGCCGGGTCGTACTACCACGGCGACACGATCGGCATGTTCAACATCCTGACGGCGTGGCGGTTCTTTGTAATTTCTCCCTCCCATGGACCGACCCCTTTGGGTCCGTTACTAACACATAAATAACAGGTCGGAATCGGCATCGGCGGCGAGTATCCTGCCGGCAGCGTGGGCTGTGCCGAGTCGACGGGCGAGCTCAAGTCGGGCACGCGCAACACGTGGTTCATCCTCTTCACCAACACCATGATCGACTGGGTATGTATATTCTTAGTATCTCTCTTGTTCTTCCAGAAAATCTAACAGAATCACACAGGGTTTTGTCATTGGCGCCTTCGTCCCCTACGTCGTCGCTGCAGCCTGCCATAACGACCACCTCAGCACCATCTGGCGGACCAGTTTAGGGATTGGCGTCGTTTTCCCGCTCGTGCTCTTCGTCATCCGGCTCTTCATCAAGGAGCCCGAGGAGTTTCAGCGCAACAGCATGAAATACGCCAAGACCCCGTATCTGCTCGTTCTCCGCTTCTACGGCTTCCGTCTGTTTATCGTCAGCCTAGTCTGGTTCATCTACGACGTATGTTTTTTACCCATCCTATTTTATTCTCATACCACCACCACCACCACCAACACCACCCCCGTTTCCCCACCGTCCCCCTTCCTTGCTTCACCTATATTAACAAAAGTTGCAAAAAAAAAGTTCTCAGCCTACTCCTTCTCAATCTACTCCCCCACAATCCTAGCCAACATATTCGACACCTCCACGGCCGCCCTGACCACCGTCTTCGGCTGGAACACGGTCATCAACCTGTTCTACATCCCCGGCACCATGCTCGGCGCGCCAGTCTCCGACTGGATCGGCCCGCGCTACGCCCTCGCCCTCGGCGTTTCTCTCCAAGGGATAGTAGGCTTCATAATGGCGGGCTGCTACACGCGCCTCGCGCAGCCGAGCATGGTCGGCGCCTTCGCCGTCGTCTACGGCATCTTTCAGTCCCTGGGCGAACTCGGCCCGGGCAACAACATCGGCCTGCTGGCCGCAAAAACGAGCGCCACCGGCGTGCGCGGACAGTACTACGGCATCGCGGCGGCGATAGGCAAGATCGGCGCCTTCGTCGGCACGTACGTGTTTCCTTATATTATTGCCGCCGGAGGCGACTCGGAGACGTTGTCGGCGCAGTACCCCTTCTGGGTGTCGAGCAGTCTGTGCATCCTCAGCGCGGTTTTGGTCTTGGCTTTCCTGCCGCATATCGGCCAGGATACCATCACCCATGAGGATGTGAGGTTCCGCGCTTTCCTGGAGGAGCATGGGTATGATACCCGCCAGCTGGGGCTGCGGAAGGGGGAGAGCGTGGAGTCGGGTGTTGGGGAGAAGGAGCTCAAGGCTTGATTAATGGCTGTTTTCTGAGGGAGTTGATATATACTGTATGGGAGTCTATAATGATGGTGTCTAGGGTCGGATTTCGTATTAGTTCTATACCCGGAAATGGCGTGGGTGTCTATTCGTAGCTCATTACATACGAGTAGAATGTATCCAGCGAGTTATCAAGGTATAACCGGTACTATCCATCCCTCTGGGTGATTTAGCTACGTCTGAATATGTAGATGGTGATGCTGCTCTCGAATGCTGGCTCGCATGCGAGCCCTGGTATCATCCATAAATAACGCTCAACTGTCCTAACGCATGCCCACGTAACATAGTATCCATATACGCAAACCCCCATATCTCCCGACAAACCGAATTCTAATCCAGCTCGACGCTGTCCAACGCCTC